AAAACAATGTTTATTATCACATTTTTAAATCGTCTTTTAGTTGCATGAAGGTCATTTATGTGCCTATATGCCATGGGGTCGACGGGAGAATCCGATTTCAGACTATGAAGTACTTGTATGGAAAAAGATAAAAAATTAAATGATGTCACATTCTCATTAAATAAAATAACAATTTTTTATTATTTTTGAATTGAGAAGTGTTTTTTTTCTAATTTCTGGTTTCCATCATAGGCTATAAGTCGATATGTTGAACGGGTTTTTGGTACTTTTCAATATTTACATATAGAAATGTTAATTCACAATCGATTTACCTGTCTGAACAGAATTAAATCTTTACCCTCATGAGGTAATTATTACGCTCGTAGTACATGAGAATTGGTAATTTACTGATCAGTTGTGATAGTAATGAAAGCCTTTTAGGTTAAGTGGTTAAAGATAAACGATAGATATTCCTGAACTTTGGTTTCGTGCTAGCAGACAATCATCAGTAAAAAATATATATCTATAGTTTTGGTGGAAACTGGTGCTCTCCCTTAATTTCACAATATTATTAAAGATTACATTATTTTGATTGAGATCATAAACCGACTGATGTTAGACCACCATTAAAAACCTGAAAGCACTGGACAGCCGTTTCGTTTTATTGTGGGATTTCAATGATCTCAATCAAAATCTTAATAATCTCCACAAACCCATACTGATGATTACATTATTATTTAACATCATAGTCTCATGGGAATTTATTTCATAATGACCGAAGATAAATCAACGCTTGTTTATTCTCATATTTCATATGACATTAAAACTAATTTACGCACTGTTTGTTTCAACATAAACAATCCATTATTTCATGTCCAAAATATAGAATGTCATCGATGATAAACATATCCAATAATAACATTTATTTCATTCATTATTCAACTACGTTAAACAATGTGAACCAACTTAAATGAAAAATAGCAATTTTTTGGTACATACCAATGATTAAAAAAATTAATACATACGCTTTTAATAGTATACTAGATGATGGGAGTTTGTACATGTGAGGAAAATCATCCTCTTTCAATATTCAATAAGTGCACACCATTAATTATTTCTCGACATTATTTCAATGTCACATATAATAGTATGATTTTTACTAGTGATTTCATCATTTTGATTATCTAAATCTATTTAAATATGTTCTCTATGAACACAACATTGTAGTGAATCTCAACTTGTTGAATGAGGAAAGCAAGTAAAATGAAAGTTAGAGCTTGAAATGATATCTTCAGTGAAAAATTAGGCTGTTAAATAGAGCACTCACACTATATAAACGGATAAGTACTAGATATGACGCATGTATTAAACATTTAAATCCAGATGCATCACAAAGTTACGAACACGCATCCTATCCAGATCGTAAAGAGGCTTACTTAAAAAATTTGTGCAAAATTTCCACGTAAACCCAGTAGAAAAATGTTGTGATGATGCGATTACGAGTTAACTTAGTCTGCAACTTGTGACCAAAGACCAGTAAACTAGCGTTCCAGCCCCGCTAACTAGAGAGAGAAGTCGAATTCCGAACGGGGAAGTATATTCCGCAAAAAGCCAGAAGCACGAGCGATAACAACGGACACAAATCAAAACGTATATATACAGCACAAAACCGTCCCTGGGAAGCGTTACAAAATACCATACTAAAAGACACAACGGACCAATAGTGCTTAAGATTCTCCCAAGTGGAAAATACAACATGAAGGCGAAAAGAGCGCTTTTGGCGCGAAAACAAAGAAATTCAAATTTTCAAAATAAAATTACAAAATTAGGACCTTTTCCAAGTGAGTTCTGGGGATCTAACGTCCCCAACAAAAGACGTTATAATAAGTGTTGTGTCCGAATGAAGAATAAATGAATGGTAACTGCTAGGAATTATTTATGGACTATTATCACATATATTTCTATTGAACAAGTATTAAGTAACTAGAATATACATAATTATATTTCTGTTATTATAAGTTTTCATTTGACCTATGGGCTGTTATTATACGATTTATTATTCTTAAGTTATTCCCAGTTTATTAGTTACAGTCTTTCACACTCACAGCCACTTTTTGGCTTGATCTTGTATTTTCTATTTTATAGTATGGTGCATTTTTGATATACTTGTGTATAAACTGAATGTGTCTGAAATACATGATTCATATAATGAAATCTGATATTGTATTCTTGATTTAAACGGACTGGGCTAGGCGAGAGGAACTAATAACAACCCAGAGTTGAATCTAGGCTGTTCGTGCTGGTTAATGAATCATTGGTCTGGTACAGGGTCAATTTCATCCAAGTTGGTGTTCTGATTAGCAAGCTTATCACGTGGTAGGTAACAGGGCAAAAGTCATAAAAATAAGTATCCTCAAACTCAAGTAACAATGAATTCATTGAGTCAATAGGACAAATGAATATATGCAATCAACTTATGTGCGTTAAAAGATCAATTCACTTTGGAAGTAAACTAATCAAATGTATTAAAGTAGATGAAAAAGTTTTTACATTTTTGTAATTATTTTTTAATTCATTAATTCAATGTAAACATGAAAATACACATGTCAACTTGAACATTGAAAATTTAAAAAAATATGTTGAGTAGTTTATTAAGATTATTCAATTGTGAAATTAGTTCTTTCAATGAACTAACCATTGAATTATTGAATGAATATTTCACCACATCATTGTACTTCCACTAGTGTGTGTGTGTATACATATATGTGTGACCACCTTCTACATAAAGCCTTTAAACTTATTTTGAGTAAATGCTTAATGTAAAAAACTTTGATTGATACAATATTCAAAAACATTGTAAACTCATTAATTGTATTTATCTTAATGGCATTCAATATTTAAGTAATCTCATAGAAACATGTAAAAGCAAATCATCTTAAGTGTTTACATTTTTCTTGTTGTTAATATGGATACCTGAATTTCTATTAATCTTTGTAAAAGAAGACGTTTTTACTTATTTTTTCCATATTTCAATGTATTAAATGTAGATCAAGAAAATTTAAGCTTCTTACTTGATCAATATTCAATTTCGTTAATTCGTAGAGATTATTATCAGAAGGGGGTTTTGTGAAGATTTTAGTAATTTATTAGTTGAATTCATGAGTCAGTTGAAACTAGACCATCATGGAAAACCTGGAAGCATTGGATGGCTGTTTCGTTCTAGTATAGGACTTTTCAGCAGTGTGCATCCACAATCCCGCCTTGTGAGATTCAAACCCAGGACCTATCATTCTCTCTTACGAATCTTTAATCTCTAGACCACTGGACCGGTATCTAACGCTATTAATGTTTAACTTCAACCAATCCACGAAATTGCACCACTGTCCAAAATTGTATTCAGTGAGTTACTATCTCATAACATACCTGGTTGAACTCCAGTGGTCACGACTTCTAGGTTTTTCATGGCGATCTAGCTCATGAATTCAACTATCAAACTAGTAGAGATTAGTTTAATTTCATTGAATTTATAAAAAAACATTCATCAGTTTACTTTGTTTACTCTTAGTATTCAATAAATCTATCGGCCATACTCTAATTTATGGATGACCTTTGAACGAATCTTAAGTGGCCTTGGGAAATATTAGACAATCAGCGAACAGTCAGTATAGAGTAAAAATATATTATACAAAACCAAGGAAATAAAGTGAATACACTTCTTATACGTGGTTCAAAAACTTGTCAAGCTTAGAAAGAGGTTCAGAGGTTCTAAAATCGTAAAGCATGCAGTAGAGGAAGTCATCCATACGGCTACAGAATAGTCGGCCTCTGGAGCCACGATGAAGTCTCAAAAACTCTTTCAGTCTCGACTACATGGTTACAATATTTCTTACGTGTATTTTGGCTGTTGACTACACAAAATGCTACTTGTGGATAACAACACGATGCACATAACCAAGCCTATGTAGGAGTCGGTGCGCTCTCCAAATATCCGAATATACTGTAGTACCTGGCCGCAACCAGTGTTACTGATGCTTCTATTATCCAGTTCGAGATGGTTGTCATAATTTGCCTTAGTTAGGAATTATATGTGGGGTTTTCATCACGAACTGACATCAGCTATGATGCCAGCAGTTTATTTAACCAAAAGGATGAAAGGCTTTCTCATTAAAATCCGAGATCTATTATCTTATACCTGATTGATTCGTTCACAAATTATATTCTCGCCGTTTTATTTGTTATAGCCGCTCAATTATCACGTTTTGTACAAAATTCGTTATGAACCCATTGTACGTTAGCATTAAGCACTGAAGTTGGCGCCGTGACCTTGAAATTTCTAAAACGCTTCTGATTGGCTAGTCCATTTCATTCACATATTTCTACATGTATATCTTCTTGTAGATTGAGACGGAGATGCATTATAATTTATAAGTACAAACAAAATTATATAATCTTTATAATACCATATGTAGCATATACACAATGAGATGGGCAGGTTGTAAGAGATGACCTAATCAAAAGCTTGTACTCTTGATTTTGTTACTAATTCACTATTATATACACTTTTTTGCTTTCAGACAAGTATTTCATTTAACTTTACATAATCCTATTCACTTAGTTCACAAATTATATATATATATATATATATATATATATATATATATCAAAGACATATGAGGAGAGTATTAGACACTTACTGAAATACTGTATGCTAGGAATTCCATGTTATTATAAACTGATGTTGGATAGAGCCAATATTACTATTATTATCATTGTGAAAATGAATCATCATTTAAATGAATAAACGAAACGGGAAACTGATACCATGATCTATGTGTATGGGTGGGTATGAGAGTGAGTGCATATTGAAGTGAACAAACAATGCATATCAGAGAATATTTGATTCTCTTGTTTTATTTCAAATTATTTACAAAGTTTCATGTTTTATTTATTTATCGAATAATAAAATCAAATATTTATAGACAAATATTAGAAAAACTGTTACCAACGGCTTTTTTTCTTCTGAGAACTTACACATAGCCTTATGTATAAAAACTGTAGTAATTATGGAAATGGAATTACTGGATTAACGAAAGTATAGAGTAAGTAACTCATTGTAAATTGATAATGTTGGGATAAGCCAAAGATGTTGGTTATCTCAAATAATATTTATCTATCAGAATATTGTTACAGATATCCTATGACATGATGTATTCTCTGTATACAGATATTTAAATAAAAATCATAGTTTTCCTTGGAATATTTATGATAATTTCAAGTGATACATGTGTTCATAAGTGAGTGATTATCAAAATGAAATTTAATAGTTGATATTATGAGTCAATTGAAGCTAGACTATCATGGAAAACCTGGACGGCCGTTTCGTCCTATTGTGGGACTTCTCAGCAGTACACGAGGCGGGATCGTGTTTGCGCTTTGCTGAGGAGTCTCACAATAGGACGTAACGGCCGTTCAGGTTTTCTATGGTGGTCTAGCTTTGATTAACTCATGATATCAACTACTAAATTACTATAATATCCACAAAACCCCTTTCTGATACTAAAATTGAATTTATCAATGTTTCATTGGAAAGCCAGTTATCTACGGAACTACATTGAAAAAAAATCACAGTTGACATGATATAGGGATAATCATTTAGACCGATGAAATTTATGAATAAAAAGTATGATTTGAAAAATCGATATAAAAAGGCTAGAATTCAACCTATTAGTTAGATATTAACTTCATGTGATTTATAGTTTCCATATCCTCCGTAATCATTTAGTTGTTAAATGACTCCTAATCACACTTATAGTTGAACCGAATATTCTGTTTAGTTGGATGTTATTTTGTTAGAACTGATTCTTCTAGCTTTTGGTCTTGTCTATGATACGAATCTAAAAGAAACTTGGTTATATGATTAATAATTTGTGATCAGTTGTTTTTATTGAAACAGTTGCCAAGTTTGTATTATATTACTCCATTATCCACATTGTAAATAGACACTGTTGGTAATGGAGATTAATTTGTATTGAAAATAAATTTTATCATATGACTCTTTTCAGTGCCCATCATCCTAACCAGCTTTTTTCAGTGACGTTATGTTACGGTCGGAGATAAGATGTTTGTCCGTGAATTTGAGTTAAGGATAATCGTTTTCTTTCCCTGTTTGATAAAAGTGCTATATCTAGTGTTTTCAAGCATTCTTCCGTTCATTTTGTGTCAGTGCCAATAATACGAGGATTGTATTTCAATCCTCTAAAGCTATCAACATATGTCTTCTGTGAAGATGTCAAATTACTGGATTTAAAAAGCGAATACAATGAAAGTTAGTACCTAAAACGAAGTCTTCAGTGAAAATTGTGGTTTTAGATGCAGCACTCATCCACTAAATGAATGAAAAACGATACCCGAAAACGCTTGACGCCACACTTATCAAACACTAAGAAATGGGTACTCTACAAATTCATAAAAGTGTATCGTAACCTGAAGTACATGTAAACAATTGAATATTGTAGGTTCATTTTGAAATAATTTCACTGTAAAAATTACGTCTTAAGTCAGTATTCAAGAAAACAGTTTTTATAACCCGTTCATAATATACATAATCTTTATGGGCACAAAATGCTTTCAGTTATCAGGCATGTGCTTCAAACATTATTCAAACAAAGCAGAAACATGGTAGTGGTAGTGTGGGAAGTAAGTATTAAAATATTGATCTATGAATCAACGTTCCATTGTAGTGGCTGGTACTATACCAAGCTCACATAGGTTATTCTAGCTTCTGGACAGACCAATTTATTCGTTTTTTCTCAAGCTACATTTCGACCTTTTCAATTACTCACTTATTAACACTGGTCGTTTTTTGTATGAGCGTATGTGTGTTATTTACCCTATTCATTACATGTTTGTAATTTATTTACCTGAATATAAAATTGAGTCACGCTTGATCAAAACAAGTTGGCTCACTCGCCTTCTCCGCATCATTTCGCTTTCAAGTTTCAAATGGCATTCACCGCTTCGCTTTCTCCACTTTGTTTCTTTGATTGTCTCTCCAGATGAGTGAGTATATAAAAAATACGTATTCAAAATTTATTCTCGTGAAAGACTTAGTTCATTCTGTTATTCTCTAACGCGAATTAAGTCGATAAAATATATGAGGGTAGCCGGGCTGTATATTTCGATAACAATCAGAATACAGTTTAACTGGAGTCAGAAACTGGGCCACTAAACCATCATTGTTTTGTGATTTTAATGTAATGGCTGATTTTAAAGTTTAACTAAAAGGATTGTGAAATCTTTTAATCTGCATTATGTCCTAACTTATTCTACTTATCGCTTTTGGTAAAATTATTTATAAGTCTTCACGTATTTTAATTTAGTAAAAAAATATAAATATACATATTTGTCATGGCTAAAGTCGGTCGAGGTTTGCAAATACCACTTTCGTGGATCCCAGGACGTGATGGATTTTGTCCAGCTGGTGCAGTTTCTGTTGATAACATATGTGTAGCACGAAGTAAACACAGTGGGGAATTATTGCCTGGAAAATTAGTACCGATGAATGGAAAATGCTATTGTCCTTATGGTGGAGCAGAATTAGAGTCTTACGATTATGAAGTATTGTGTGAAAGTTTTATTCCTGGTTCTTGCAAAGGGTAAATTAATGATTGTTTTCGGATATATATATTACTGAATGCAAAGTTGTACATGATGCATTAAACCCTGATGATAGGATGAATGATCTAATGGTGCATTGTACTGACAAATCAGTTCACAAAATGTATTGTAAACATGGATGTAAAAGTTGATAATAAGACTGTCATCATGAATTATAAACCTAACGCTCAATTATGAAAATACATTTGTCAGGTGATGTGTTAAACAAACCAAATTATTGAGTACTAAATTTGGAAGTTACGTTGTAGCATACATAACACAAATACAAACGTAAAACATTTGATTAAATAGATTAATTTATTTGAGAATACTTAACTTGTAAGAATTACCCACTTTTCTAAACATGAAATTCGCAAGCAACCAGAATATTCAGTAGGCATATAGATATGAATATTACGACAGTTTCTAGTCTTTTTCACTTCCATTGAATATTAAAAAGGAGTAGTGAATCATAGAAAAGATGTCATTATTTTCTTGGTGATTTGACAAAACTTAAATTAATAATTTTCTTCATATTACTGTAGCAATGTAAATTCTTCTTACAGATATCGTTGGGAAAGAGCATTTGACGGTGATGTTCCAAAGAATGCAATTGTTGCTGGAATAGCTAAAGATGGTGAACCATTGTACATTGTAAAAGGTGTTGTGAATGATGAAACATGTTTTGGAAAGGTAAACAACTACCTACATATTTCATTGAGATCGCAAATCGATGCAAGTCAAACTAACATTGAAAACCTGGAAGCACTATACGGACGTTTTGTCTTGTCATGGAACTCCTTAATAGTGAACATCTGCAACCCCACAGCAAGGAAGATGGTTACTCAATATCGTGAAGTGATTAAAGTTGGACGTGAAATTTATCGAATTCCTGTTCAATAGTCTAGAAGTTGAGCATTCCCTCGACAAATCGGAACCTATGGGTTCGATTCCCGGTTATTAGGTCGTGGGTGATCACTAATGAGGAATCCCATACGAGGGCGAAATGGCCGTACAGCACTTTCAGGTTCTCAATTGTTATCGAACTTAGATCTCTTTGTGATTTTAGTGAAATTCAATAATCTCTATGACCCTACACTTGTAACTGTATGTCTTTTTTTAATAATTTTCAGATACCGAAATTGCCAGTCTACAACTTGCTAGTTGTTAGGTTTCTGTTAACCATTTTTGCTTATTGTTGTGCTTCAAACTGGAACAAATACTAAATATTCATGCTTTGCTTGAGTGTAGAATCACAACAAAAGTCTACTTCTACTTTTAAATTGATACATGGTTATTAAATAAGAATATTCAACTGAAATTTTCATAAGCTTCAGTTCTTCAGTTTTTTTTAATTGATGTAATAATATGACACTACTGCACAGTGATTACAGATTTACATAATATTTAAGGAAATTGTCAGAATGCAAATTTTAGTTAAATGATTATCAACTTTAATACTTAAATGTCTTCTTCAACAGCATGTTACTACGAAAAGTAAATCATGCGCTTAGGAATGTGTTTTAAATTATTAAAACGCTGCCTTTTATAGTTTCTAACAAAAAAAGGAATATTAACTCAGTAAAATGGTCTCAACAAACTATAATCATTCAAGTCAACAATAATAATAAGTGATGGCTTTTCCTGACAAATATCCCTTTAAAGGACTCCATACTTTTATGACAAACTAAGCAAACAATTGAATTTCAGAGGAACATGAGTAGTTTCCACAACTCATTAGTCTAATAGTATGAAAGCATTTTAGTTTATTTCCAAATCGAGTTGTTGGTTTCAATGAACTAAAAACACTCACATATAAGACTGGTTCTGATTCAATGGCAAACCAGTTGAATATATAGTAAATTTCTAACCTAATGAAATTAGGTATAGAACAAGAACCCTAGTGATATTTTTACAAAAAACACCGTACAATTTAATTCTTCATTTACTCGAATCCTTAAGCGAATAATAGTGGTCCTTTAAATGTATTATAATTTGTCAACTAGTCTAACTATTTAATGTAACGTTCATCTGGTCCTTGGTGCTGATAAAATTCCGTCAATCAAGTTGCAATATGGTTACTTATCGAGGTGACCCCACATTACATACACTATGTTTTTGGCTACTACTTGGTGATCAATAAGTATGAATGCTTTCTGGATGAGTGACAGAACGAAACCTACTTCGAATAGGGTATCCTATCAACAACATCCAACCATTAAACATTGTGTTTGTGGTGAAGTTCCGTTCTCTGAACTGTATGGTTTGCTCGTGGAGGCTTCGTTGTACTTCTGAACAACAATGAAGGTATTACGACTAGATCATCCAGTTCAGAGGACGAGACTCCATCCAAATTATCCACATGAGCTATAAATTTTCTAACCATTGTGATTATTCATTATTTCGACTACACGGATGATTGATCGATCAACTAACTGGTTAGCTGACTGAATACAAGTGATTCCTTCACGTTATGCATCCACTCTTGACTTTTTTTACCTTCATTTATATATTTCAGCTACACGAAGGTCATTCATGTGCCTACTTACCATGGGGTGGTAAGGAATATTCAGTCAATGAATATGATGTACTTGTGTGGCAGAAACATTGAGATTTAAATTTTTAAATACAGTTTTGTACCGGAGACATCATTAGCCTCATACATCAGATGTTCTTTTCTTTTTTACCATGCCATTTTTTTGTTTGCAATCTTTGAAAATGTGTGAAAATAATACATCTTTACACAGTATTAATCTATTATCTTATTACTGAATCTACTGATGAATCGTGATATCCGGGGAAACGAATGCGAAACCTTTGGTTAGAACACACATATACAATATTTATTTGATGTTTAATAAAAGCAATTTTATTCTAGTTTATATATTATATAATACTAAATTATAAACGTATGATGAGTTCCTTTTCGAAGCGAAGTAATGTGATTGACTGTTTCATAAAACGTAGATAAATAAACCTCGTGGACCAGTGTGAAGATTAAGAAACTAGTAAAATGACTTTATATTAAAGTGATCGTATTCATGAATTACCATTATAGGATGTGTTGTAAAGTTGTTAGTTTTGTTATCAAGGTGGAGTGTATTGAAAGGAAATGAATGATTATTTCAAAGGACACTGAATAGCGTGTGCTTTATAACGTTCGAAATGCAAGGTGAAACAACGTAAGAAGGAAATTTAAATACCTGAACATTTTGAAACAAATTTCGAACATTCATTGCCGTAGAATAATGTTTATGCTACTTTCTTTGTAAACTAAACTTGTATTAACTTTTCTGTAATCGCATTGAGGAAGGTTGACGGTAAAAGATGAATTGTTGTTTTTATTACGATGTTGAAAATAGATTGTGTATATCTTTAACTATAGATAAGATATGGAAAATGAAACTACTGTTTAATTATTTGTATTTCCAAATGATAACATCCCCGACGTTTCTACACCACAGGAATTTCGTTATCACGTCTGAGAAGTGTACCATGTTCTTTAAGATTTTCACTGACATGTTTAGTAGTTGAAAGCAAGTTCAAGCAAGCTTTTCGACAGACTGTAAGTTTTGTTGTGATTCATTCTCTTCGTTAACTGTCTTGTTGTTGTCTTAGATTTAATGGAGCCGGTGAATATTGTAATTACTGTTAATTCTATCGAATTGTTCAACTAAATGTATGAAGTGAATGAGAAATTGGTGTGCAAAATAACGGTTATATATACGGTCACAAACTTCAGCTCGTGAGATACTTGTGGTGGTCAGCACGACTGTATGCTCGGAAAGAAAAAGGCTTCCTGTAATAATATATAAAGAATAATTACAACATACGAGAACCTTAATGACAGCTAGTCGTTCTATCTAAATCCATTCGTGATTATCAGGCATCAATATGAATACTAAAAACACATAAATATGAAAGCTGTTGTGTTTAGACAAAAATTTAAGGGATTTAAAAATTTCTGGAAATCAACTGGTTACTGTATATTAACAAGTAGTGTCAAGTAATATACGAAAAATCAGTTGACTCAGGAGAAAATAAAAAGATAATTAAAATTCACTTGATTTTGTTTACTTGTAACTTCCAATTGTTGTTTGGACTGTAATTGATCAGTTTCTTGTTGGCATATATCCATCCTGTGTTAATTGCCTCGATATTGCTTCAAGTTATGAGCTTTATAAGTAAAGGTGACTAGTAAACTAGTTTCGTCCCATTCGGGATTCGTCAGCGGGATGCACCTGCATCCCAGAGTTGGTGTTCACTCCGGGACTCGCAACCAGTATCATTCGCTTTAAACGCCAATTATTGCACGGTTTTTGTGATTCCTCACTCACCGTTGATGGGAAATTCTTGGGTGTGATGAAAAACTTTAGAAATAAGTGATTGATTAACTCGGTTTTGAATGTGTATGGTCATGTGATAATGAACAAACATTTTGTCCACATAGTTCCCCTTATTATCTTAAAGACACCAAGAACGAAGATTGGTGCAGAATAATATGAATTCATTTTATTTCGTGAGGCTCTCATCAGCTGCTTATAACCTAAAATATTTGAAAATCAACGTTATTACAGATATTGACATAAGCATACATACGGGGGTGATTAAAGATGAATATATGTATCATGATGTAGCGAAGATTTCAATAGAATTAATAAGGTCATAAAATTTTTTGTTGCGGATGACCTTATTCTGCACCAATCTTCGTTCTTGCTGTCTTTAAAACATTTTGTCTTCTGTAATAATTTGTTAATTGGCTGTAAACTGTGCATCTTTGTAATCTGATTAGTTCAAATCTGAGTAGTATAAAGTGATTTGATTGAATATGAGAATTTACATTTTTACATTTGAATTTTATTTTGAATAAATAATTCTGTCTGACTGTTCCATCGGAGTTTTGCTAACAATTTTAACTTCTGAAAAAAGACACCAATTGTGTTTGACCACCCTGTGAATGTATATCGTGATAAACGTTTCTCGATCAATTAGCAATGGAATTAGTTGCTTCGGCGTTCACTTCTGCATTTGTGCGTGTACAGTAGGCCTTACCTAACATTTACAATACAAATAAGCACACTGCTTACCAGGAAGATTGGCTTGTGAGAACACTTTGTGGCGCATGTTAAAAAAGGTCTTGGGGATTCAGGCATTTTCCATAAGATTGAAAATCGAGGTGCACAATATTAGATGCTGCTGTCCCCAAACCACTCTTTCAATTTCCTCGTCAGTTAACATGCGCATTCACGAATTATTGTCGTACCTCAAGGAATCGCACTCATGATTGTGATGCACATTACCACACAGTCCAGTTACCTTCAATAAACTTACAATATATGGAGGCCGGGCATTGAATGTTGGTTGTAGACCTTCATGAACATTATGACAACACTATTCAAAATACCTCCTTCGTATAATCGGCTGTGAGGATCCTCTCGGTGTTCTACAGCCGGTTCTTCAACATATAAATTTAATATACGGCTTCCAATCCTAGTGGAAATGAGAGTCGCCCGCTGAATAATGGCATTACGTCGTCCTTTCACTAGTTCAGATGGCGCTCTTTAACGCTTCAAGCGATTGGAACACTACCAGATACAACGTATTCAAGAACACGCTCTCCGTGTCCGTGATAACGTTCGAGACGATAGAGCTTGTACTTTGTAAGCTATTAACGTTCATAATTCGGAGAAAAGTTGATACGTTGAGAAGTAATTGTATTTTATATCAATTCTCAGAAATAAATAACCAATTATTACCTAAATTCACTTGGTATTATTTGCTTGTGTCTTGTAACATTAACTCTGGGATGCAGGTACATCCAGCTGACGAGTCCCAAATAGGATGAAACGCGCGTTCTGGATTCCATCGCTAGCCACCATACACCTTTGCTTATAAAACAGTTATTACCTATTTAAAGCTAATTATTTAGTTGGAAGAAAAGTAATGAGAAAATTTCACAAATAGGATGGGACAAAGTTTGCTTTAAAAAATACAAAGATCTTCGTGTGTCAAATGCGTTCGAATCCCGCGTTCGGGATCGTAGATGCGCACTGCTGACTAAGTGACCGCCCAGTACTTCCAGGTTTTCCAGGGTGGTCTAGTTTAAATTGACTCATGAATTCAACCATTAAATTACTACAATTTCCACAAACCCTCATTTTGAAAATGATATTCTATTAATTTTGGTTAAGAATAATATTAAGCTTGAATAACATAATTGTCAAGTTTATCAATGATCCATTCATCTGTCAGTATTTATTGTAAGTACATTAAAGGTTTGTAAATTGTATGCGGATAAATTATCAAACACACATTATGCCATTTTTAGTAAGGAATGTTGAGTGTTTATTAAGACAAAGTATCATTAACCGTCATTTTTACTTACTATAACCTTTAGTAATCTTGATAAAATGTATTAGTGATGAGTTGTGTAGATTCATCTTACAAACTAATTCGCAACTATCTAATGAGATAAACTCATTATCATAATAGATAATTTGGACTAGAGTAAAATACTCAAATAAATTTCCATCTAGTCAAATGGAATGATTTACCTATAAATGGATGTTGTTTACTGAATAATAAGTTACAAGCACTCATTCGAGTCCTGGAATGAACTTTGATTCTGAGATGCAGGTACATCCAGCTGACAAGTTTGAACCGGGACGAATGTCACGTCCTGCATTCCATCACTAGTCATCAACCATCGTTGCTTATACTGCTTGTGCCTTAATGACAATATCAAGGCAATCCTCACAGGATATGCATATGCCAATAAGAAACTGATTAATCTCTATCTTAAACATTGTGGAGATAAGCATGACAAACTTATTTTGTAAATAGTTTTTGATATTATTTGCATTAATTTTGTTAATTCTCATAGTTTGTACTTTTACCACAAATGTTTGTAAAAGTTGTTGTCTCCACTGTTGTTCTCTTTTACTACAATGCTAGTGACCATAGTACCATTCTGTCGATAGAATTTGATGTGCTCTGATAGAACGAGTAAAACATCATTGTGGTTAGCGCTCAGTTCTCAGTCAATTGCGAGTAATATTTGTCCAATTAGTCTTTTGAATACATAAAGGACTCAATTTTAAGCAATCAAAGACAATGAACAAACAGCAGTTATTTTTAATTTCATTTTACTAGGAAATCTTTGTAGTATGTTTTTGTTATGATGTTTTTATTGATAATTGTACATCAAGTTATTTTTAACACGAAGAGATACACTTTTATCTAATCATTTTATTGTTCCTTCTAATTAAATGGAAACAGTTATACAAGAGATAATCTTTCGATGATCTTGGAGATCAGAACAACAAAATCAGTTTCACTTTTTCCAAACTAAAACTTCATATTCTTTCACTGAGTGTTCTTTACCACCCCATGGTAAATATGCACATTCATGGCCACTATGTACCTAAATGATGCAAAAAGTTACGATTAAATAAGTGGACAATATTTTATTTATATTAAAAATAAACACACCCAATAATCTGAGTTGAATAGATTATTGACTGACCTCCGACAAATACTGAAATGAAAGTAGCAGTGAAGCTCTATTTCTTCCTATAGTGAGACTCCTCGGCGATATGTAGTCAAGATACTATCTGGAGTCAAGAACAGTATATATATTTGTATTAAGGTCTCTTTAATTACACCTAACCATTAAACCACTGAAATGGCAGCCAATGCTTTATACTTCCAACTTCACTCAATTCGGCAATTTTTCACAACCATCTTCCAACGTCATAGATGATGTTTATCCCTTACGCTGCGCACCTCATGCAAACTATGAAATTCCACAAGCCTCACAACACCGTGTAATGAGAATCAATATATACTTACTTGTGATCAGATTCGTGGTGTAATTCACGTAGTTGTATTGAAAACTCATTACCAGTAGAGTTCAGCCGTGACATAAGTGGATCAAACATCAGTTATAATGAATGATATGGGGAATCAGTTAGAGTTAAACATATAAAATATCGACTTCTTACTCAGTGCTGTAAAGATCAGGCGTTCAACACGAAACTCAAATGTCCTGTTTTGATCCTCAGTGGTGTTCTGAATTCCCTCTACTAAGATGTCTCATACTAGGACAAGAGAGCTGTCCAGTGTCCCCTAATTTTCACTGGTTGTACAACTAAGTCCATTTAGTGATGTAAATTATAGAATTCAATATTCTCCATAACACCATGATACGAATCTGAGTTTCATCCAAGTCCGTGGACTTCATAGTTTTAAACAGCTTTTTTATTTTCAATACATCAATCGATGGGAGACAGTGTGATACAATTGTTTGAAATGTCCAACATAGAAATCGAAAACATAACATCCAGAACATGGGATTGTGAAACGTTTAATAAAGATATGCAGATGTGATAATTTCTGGTGTGGTATGGGACATATGAACTGGTAAGTTAACTATAACATAATATATTTTTCATTTTCTATAGAGCTATTCATTCTAGATAACATTTTTTCAGTGTACAACGTATATGGAATTAATCTGATCATGCAGTTCATTAGCATAAGAGAATTCACTAAATGTCTTGTTAAGATAGTTTATCTAATCGGAGAAAACAGGATATAACACAAGTGGTTAGGTCTACTCACCTTTCCAACACATGGTTCTCCGTTAATTGAAGATTTGGCTATGTATAGTGGATCAAAACCTGACATGCCAGCAATGATTGCATTTTTCGGCACACCACCATATGATGCATGTAACCATTCATATCTATACAGAATGAGAATAATCAACAAAGTATTTATGTTCCAGTTACCTAAACCGAATTGAACTATATAATCAACTAATTGATGAGAAGAAAAGAAAATAATAAGATCAATATTGGTTTGTGGGGCTCCTCAAAAATAACAGATTGAACAAATATACTCATGATCTCAGCTGTCCACAAAAACCCCTTCTGATACCAATCATCATATGCTCATTAGTGACTGGCTTCAAGGGGTATTTCTTGGAGTTCTAGTGACAGGCAGTGAACAGTAGATTTCAACCGGATCTGATGTGAGTGTTGGACGACGGCACAATTTCACGAAATGATTAAAGTTAGACATTAAGACCGTTGGATAGATTAAGCATTCGTGAGAGAGACTGATATGTCCTGGGTTTGAATTTCACAAGGCAGGATCGTGTATGCGCACTGCTGATGAGTCCCTTATTAGGACGAAACAGCCGTCCAGTGCTTCCAGGTTTCCCATGGTGATTTAGCCTCAACTGACTCATAATCTCAACTATTGGAATTACTATAACATCCACAAGAACCCCTTCTGACACAAGTATACATGTTGTTTATTTAAGTTTATCTTTGAAATGTAATAACTTATTTGTAGAGAACAAAATCTGAAATACTTTTCTATATAGAGTAAAGTTAAACGTACATTTGTTCCTAACCAATAATATCCCAAGCTGCCAGCTTTGGGGAAATGAGACGCAAACCCCAAAATGTACTATAGCGCCTTCCCCAATATTTCCCCAAAATGGACCACATTTTCCCCAAAGTTGGCAGCTTGGGATACATTTGTAACTATTCGCGGCTTAAAAGTACATGTTATTGATGCGTGAATATAAAGACCACGGGGATTCTTAAAATATAAGTTAAATACGATATGACAAATTGCATATAATGAATCACTTTTAGTGATATATAAACTTAAATATTATTATTTGTGTGGTTAGTTTCAGATTTATATGGATATTATTAATGAAATTGAAATGACTGGGAACATTTTCTAATATTTCAAATATGTAGATACACTTTAGGTATCAGTGTCAAGGTTGGACTTGATAGTTTCAAATAAACTAAGCATTGGGTAGAAAGCTAACAGTAAATATACTTTTGTTATATCCCAATGAGTATAAAATAGTTGTATTTCTGACGTTTCGTGACTTAATGTAAGCCACTTCTTCAGATAAAAGAAATACAATTTTTCTACTCATTGGGATATACCAAAAATATGTTTATTCTAACAAGCTACTAGCGGTACTAAAATTAGTATCTGTAAACATCGATAAAGCTGAAATTTGATTTTGTTCCATGAAACTGTATGTCCAGTAATATCAGTCAAAATGCAAAGTTAAAAACATCACTGAATAACATAAATCCTATGGGTACACAATGATTAAGAAAATTCAATACTTTTCAATGTATATATTACTTAGAGACCACTTTTCTTGAAACTGTCTATCAGAAAATATTTCATTTTACAATATGTGATAAATAACTCATACCAGAAAATGATAAAATGTACCCTTGATGTCCTGAAAACGAGGTATCACACAGGACTTCATATTCTCTTGTATTCTTTTCTTCACCATCATATGGATAATAAGCTGCATTATGTCCAGTTGCAGCCTTCCCAGGAATCCATTGACTATCGTGTTTGCAACGAACCACATAGATACCACGAGTAACACTGAGAGCATTATTAGGGATATTTCCATCCTTAGCAGGTACCCATGATAGAGGAATCTGAATCCCTTTGCCTATTTTAGCCATATGAACGAAAACCTCTCTACATTCGAACGGAAAGAAAAACACTTAATATGTTCTCAGTATATGTAATGGGGTAATAATGTGAAAAACGAATTATTTTAGATATATAATAACTTAGTGTGCGTTAGTAACTAACTTCAAGGGGGTTTTGGTGAAAAACCATGGCCAATAGAGTCCAAGCATTTTGAGGATGAGACAATATTACTATTAATAATGATTGTTGATAGCTTAATTTGGTAAAGTGATTGAAGTTAGAAATATAAACCAACGAATTTCAGCTTAGTGGTCTAACAGTTAAGGGCTTGCCACAAAGTCTGAATGTTCATTGTTTGACACCTGGTGGGTGTTACCTATATGTCCAATACTAAGACGAAACAGTTATTCACTTTTTATATGTTCTCATTGGTATTCTGAATAACATCAATTTTTGTTGTCAAACTGAAATATAGATCAATCGAATATGAATTCTATAAGCAGATTTAGTCAACCAGGAGATGTTTATTACTTCTGGACAGCAAATGAATTAAATCTTATTCGTTATCCCTAGCGATACCAGAGATACTGGTCTCATGTTCAAGCATTTATCTCATTTATATATTTTAGTATGGTAGCAGTGTATATGTGGAACTAGTTACAACATAAACAGTAAGCAATAGATGAACTAATTTGAATAGACAATCATTTTATCATTTGTTTGTACAACGTTTTCATTTACATGTAAATGTGATTGTCTTGTTTTATCATCTAATATCAAACTGATGATATCCCTGACTTATGCCATAATTATGAATTTTATTTGTGACGATTTGTATATTTTCCGTTGTTTGTATCTCAGTGTGAACATCGACACTAGGAAGCTGGTGCATTAAACTGATGAATGGCAAATACAAAGAAACATGATGCCTGAATTGCAATTTTTTAGCAGCTGTCTTACTAGAAACTTTCAATGAATTTTATTAGGTGCCTAATTTAGACATAAATTATTAATCGTTATGTTGGAAACGTTATTTGTCAATCATTGTATGATCTAATAAAATTCTGATACATGAATGATTCAAATAAACTTCCAAAATATTTAATAGATTGAAAAGATCACTTTGGGTTCGACCTCTGGAAGGGTCATCAGGTGCATTGATGAAGAGTCATATACTGGGGTGAAACAACTGTTTACTGCTCCATGGTTTTCAACTAACATCGACATGTAATAAATACTTAATACATATTAAAACCACCCTCAATAAAACCTACTTAACGAGATGAAATATTTACTCTAAACATATAAGTAAGTAAATGCGATAAATTATTGTAAACATATCAATGATTATCAGAAGGGGTTTTGTGGAGATTTTAGAAATATCATTGATTGAAATCATGAGTCAGTTGAAGTAAGACCACCATGGAAAACCTGAAAGCACTGGACGACTGTTTCGCCTTATTGTGGGACTCCTCAGCAGTGCGCACCCACGGCTCAGTGGTGTAGTTGGTTAAGCGCCTGGCGCGAGACTGATAGGTCCTGTGTCCGAATCTCACGAGGTGCGTGATTGTCGATGCCCACTGCCGAGGAGTTCCGCAATAGGACGAAACGGCCGTCTAGTGCTTCCAGGTTTTCCATGGTGGTCTAGCTTCAATTGACTCATGATTTCAATCAGTGAAATATCAGTGATTACTAGTGTTAGCCATTATTCTAAACTAACCGTTAAATTAAAAGATATACTATGAAAATGAAATGTGCAAAACTAATAACATACCTTATTGCTTAATGATACCCAAAACACAGAGAACTTATTTAGTAAAATATATATTTATAATGAAATTCTGTTTACTGTCTACCATACAGTCATAACACCACATGACTGTTACAAACATAGAAATGAAAAGATAGTTAGTTATTTAGGTGTTATACATTAAAAATAGGTTTTGTCGAGTTCACCCACATTTATTAAACTAAATCTACAATTTTTTTTAATGATTCATCTGCACATCTATAATTGTTAATTTACTTAGAATAGAAGTCAAATACACAAATAAGCACAAATGGATTAATCAAGAAGTACTTTTGCATCTGTTGTTTTATTGTTGTTGTTTATTTCATTGTGTTATTTGATTTCTTGAGGTAAATGTTGACCTTGGTTCTAATATCAATGCATATTTCATTAATTTAATCACATTGAAAGAAAAAGCTCAACTTTAAAGAACATTCATAATTAAGTAAAGTTAATGTGAATCTTTATGTATTGAATAGTTAGAATATACCATAAGTTTATGAAATGAGTTCTTTACTAATTATTCTCGTGTTTAAAACACGCCGTTGTTCAATAAATCTAATGTGTGGTCATCTATTTTAATTAGTCAGTTATAATCAACATAGAACATGACAGAAATGTACGTTGGCTGAAGTTGTCAAAGCCTGCGAAACCATAATGAGTTGAAATTAATAAGACGAATAGCGAAAGAATCCAAACAGTTTTATGGAAATGATGATAGGGAAGACAAAAATATCGAGAAGGTGGTACGAAGAATATATATATATATATGGAAGAGTCCTGGAAAATATAATCTAGATTATGATCAAAGTGAATAGTTCTGTGCAATTATGATGGATTCTGGATTATATCACTCAAAGTCTAAAATCACTGTATTTATTTTCACTATACTTTAGAACCTTGATGTTATGTATATTTCATATGCATAGAGTTGAGCTAGTTGACAAAAATAGAAATTTGAGATTCTGAGTTTTTATTATGTAAAATAATGTTCACTTTTACAATGTATGCAAATAACCACGTAGTTGACAAGTTGTATCTCATTCTTTATGAGTTAATTGCTAAGGAATTCATTCGGAAATCATTATCATTAGGTTAAATACAAGCTGTAGAACATTATCTATTCCACATTACAACAGTTAACTAATAATACTGATAATCTTATGAAAGTGAATATCACTTCAGTGAATATTTGTTTTATGGGTATTGCTAATGTCATGGTAGCTTTCTTATCGTGAACATACGCCATGTGGAGAAAAATCAAAACTCATAAAAGCTTGTAGATCCTCATAAATTCACTTCGGTGTAAAATCAATGATATTGTTTTTCAAATGATTGTAACCAGTGTAGTTAAACAAGTGATGGAGGGATGGGAGTTTCGTGGTCATAGGTTAGGTGTTCTACCTAAGATAGGAAGTTTTAAGTTCTATTCCCGCCTGCAAGACTGTGGATACTCACTGCTGAGGAGTCCCATAGTAGAAAACAACTGACACTAGTCTATTGGAGACAGGATCTTTATTTCGAAGTGAAACGTTTTCATAAAATATGCTTTATTCTCGGTAGTTTTTTTCAGCTGAATGGTGTAATCATGAAACTCCCATTGTTCTTCTGGACAGCATGATCAACACAAAACTTCAGGTGGAGATAATCTACTTTAATTTATATACCAAATGACTGACGACTTAATCTGTCGACATTGACTTTGACTAGTTGTTGTTGTTGACGTTTGCCCTATCATTATTTGCATATTTATTTTGATTGATTTCTCATTTTGATCTGATTTTCGATTACATGATTTTTCTTACTGGCCAATAAATTAGGTCAGTTTCGATGTTTGTCCCGGTTACTAATTGATCTGATTATCAAGCATAAAAAATTCCTTAGTTTTTCTTATACCACTCTGTCCAAAATTTAAACATTTCCCCTGTCAAAAGTGTGTCCTCAATCGTCCGATCGTTCATTTAGACGAAGTTGAAAGGGATGATCATTTTGTCAAATGTAGTGTTTTATGTAACTGGAATAACTTTTCTGGTTTATGCGCTAATATCTATTCCAACCAGCCTCTATAATGTTGTAATTTCTGATATATCCTTTATATATGGTAGGTTGATTGGTTGATTAATTTTCACATTTGATTTCGTCTTTATTGATGAGATTAAATGATATTTTTCGATGAAGTCGTGTGGATAGTTGTTCTTTTGAAAAGTAATTAGAGCAAACATCAATAACAATCAGTTAACACGAATGTTGATAGAACAAGCCGTCAGTCATTTGATGTAAAAATTCAAGTAGATTACATTCATCTGAAGTTTGTGCTAATATTGTTATCCAGGAAGATATAGCATAGCACATCATCCATTTCAAAGTAAGCTCTACATAAATGACTCATCTGATCCATAAATTTTCTGCACCATCTCGATAAACGTAGGACCAGTATGCTATAGTTTTCATATTATCATAAATCACTGAAAATAGCAACGTTTATTCAGTCATAAGATATTGCTCATTATTGTTGAGGGTTTTTACTGGTAAAAATGATTTTTTTAAATATACCAGCCTAATAAAGTTGATGAATATCAACATTCACTAGTTACATGAATAACATACTGACATTTGAAGCAAATGTTTACTCTTTTGAAGTCTCAACATGAATATTCATATTTAGATCCAAGGAAATCCAGATAATATCGTCTCAAATACAGATCAGAATATACATCTTCCATAAATTCCTCCTGTTTATCACTGCAGCGGTAAATAAATCCCCAAAATAAATAGCTCTGTAAGTTTTCGACATTGGATGCTGACCGGATTAGTTTTAGTGGGGGCTTAGCGACATTTCGCTGGCCCTACATCACCATGTTTAACAATAGGTAATGTAATATTATTATAGAATAAAGTACATTGAACTTTTGTTATTATTTCACGGATTATATGTTATTTTTATTATTAAAACAAAGGAATTTATGAATAAGGAATGTTATTATTAAATTTAGTTTACTTTTATGCTTTGAATTAACAAAGAAACAGGAAATACAATAATAATAGAGTGGTATGTGCTACTTATATAGACACATGTAGTAGATGATGTTGGTCGTGAACAAAAGGTCTCAAAGCAGAGAGACAAGAGGATCGAACAGTAAAGAATGGAAACAGGATGTAATTTGTATGAAAATGCAAGGACAATGAAGTCTGAGTCATTTTGAGACAATCGATGGACATTTTGCAAATTAAGCATTTACTATATGATTGTTAGATTTTATTAACAAGTGCTGTAATTTTGTGTCAAATACATTCGATTGTCCCCACCAGTGTTCTTGTTCACTACAATCGTAATAATACAATATGTATATTAATACAACATAGAAGTAAACATTTATAATAGTATGAAACAGATCATTCTTATCCAGGTAATACACAACTATACACGTATCTCATACACGTTTTCATTTTATTCAGTTAATAAATAGTAAAACATAATCATATGTATCAGAAGGGGTTTTGTGGAGATTGTAGTAATTTCAATAGTTGAGATCGTGATTCACTTGAAGGTAGACCACTATGGAAAACCTGGAGGCACTGGACGGCCGTTCCGTCCTATTGTGGGACTTCTCAGTAGTGCGTATCTACGACCCTGCCTCGCGAGATTCGAAGCCAGGACCTACTGGTCTCGCGCGCGAGGGCTAACCAACTAGACCACTGGGCCAGTAACCGATGGTGGTAATGTCTAACTTGAACTAATCCACAAAATTGAGAGACACATCAACCATTGTCATCAATGAGTTACTATCTCACAACTGACCCGGCTGAACTCCACTGGTCACTACTTCTCACTAGAACTGAGGAGTCCCACAATAGGACGGAACGGCCGTCCAGTGCTTCCAGGTATTCCATGGTGGTTTGGCTTCAATTAACTCATGATCTCAACTGCTGACGTTAAATCGAGTTAGCGAATAATGGAATTAAATAAGTCAAACGTGAGAATTAAGTATGAATACGTACATTTCGTACACTCATTCATCTGAAAAGACAATCAAAGGAACTTAGTGAAGGAAGCGAAACGGATCAGAGAAGGCGTGTGAGCCAACTTGTTTTGATCAAGCGCGTCTCAATATTTATATTTAGACAAAAATAAATTACGGACACGTAATAAATAGACTAAGCAATCAGCGCACATACGATCATACAAAAAATGGTAGGGTTAATGAGCGAATAATTGACTAGCTCAAAATGTGACTTGGGAAAAATGAGTAGGTCCTGGGTTCGAATCTCGCTGGGTGCGTGACCGTGGATGCACACTGCTGAGGAGTCCCACACTAGGACGAAACGGCCGTCCAGTGCTTCCAGGTTTTCCATGGTGGTCTAGCCTCAACTGACTCATGATTTCAATCTGTGAAAAAATGAATAAATTGGTCTGTCCAGAAGCTAGAATAACCTATGTGGGCTTGACGTAGTGCCGGCCACTACAATATCATTATCGGTAAGGACGTGAATGCAGATAAATGCAACGGATGAGTCTTAAATGGAATGAAACGGGTCATGAAATCCACTGTTACCACAGTCCATTTATTTAACATAAATGAAGATATTATATGTGAAAATTATATTTGAAATAATATCAGAGATTGAAATTTGAATAATTCCAACGTTCCGTCCAGCTAACTTGTCTGGACTTCTTCAGGGTAATAATCAAAACCAAAAAAGTAGTGAAACATCAGAAGAAATCAAACGGATTCTAAACAAACATGATATAAGAGTGTATTTTAGGGCGAGTAACACCTTAAGATTGACGTTAGTGAAAGTTAAGGACAGGTTACCAAAGGAAGAACAACAGAATATTGTGTTTGAGATCAACTGTCATGATTGTAATGCGGCCTATGTTGGAGAAACATCCAGACAATTGAAAGTAAGATTGAAGGAACACAAACAATATTTGAAAAATGTTCCCAAATCCTCGGTTGGTTTGAAGGAACTTGAGAATAAGTCTGCGATAGCGTTACATGCATTAGAAACAGGACACAAGATTGATTTTGAAAAGACCAAAATACTTCAGAAAAGTTTTAACACCCATAAAGAAAGATTGACAG